GGAGGGAGACAAGAAAGTGGGATAGGGGAACCCCCAAGTTACAAACAAAACACTCCAACAAGCTAACATTTGCTAACAATTGGGGCCCTGTTGAGACACATTTCCTCTCCTGGTTTGCCTTTGAAGTGTTGCCATCTCCGTCAGCAAGGGCTCCATGGGTGTGAATTCAGCGACCTGCGGGATCTGGGGACATCTCCCAGGCACACACTTTACTCGGTGTAATGGGTTGAATTGCATCAAATTCTCAGGTTGAAGTCCTAATCCCACTGCCTGAGAGTGTGCCCTTATTTGGAGGTAGGGTCTTTTTGAGGGAACCCAGTTAAAAGGTGCCATCGGTGTGATCCCTAATCCAATCTGAGTGGTGTCCTTATTAAGAAGGGGGCACACACAGAGGAAGAGGGCCCTGTGGAGGTGAAGTCTGACCTGGGGGTGAGGTAAGAGGGCCAGAGGTTGCCACGAAACCCCCAGAAAATGGAGAGAGGCAGGGACCAGATCCTCCCTCAGAGCCTCAGTAGGAACTAGCCCTGGGTCTCAGACTTCTGGGCTCCAGAACTGCAAGACAACACATTTCTGTTGTTTCTGCCACCCAGTGTGTGGGTCTTTGTTCAGGGGGCCCCAGCAAACTAACTCACTGGGCAGACACAGAACCAGAGTCATATCTGAGAAAATCCCATCCCATCAAGAGCTTACAGCAAGCTGATGGGTGGTCCCCATGAAACACTTAGCAACGACAGGAGGCAAATCATGGTGTGAAGGCCACAGGAGCAATTCACAAAGTAAATGCTGTTAGAATTCAGATGACAGGAGAGAAGCAGAGACTGACATCTCCACGGAGTTACCATGCTGTAGTGAGTACGAACAGGGCAATGGTGTGTGCGGTGCAGAGCCAGGAAGCAGAGCCCATGGTTTTGGAGATGAACACTGGGGACAAAAACCAAGGCCCCACCTCTGTGTTGGCAAACCCTGTCGTGTGTCGTCACCGGGAAGGGGAAAAGACCCAAGCGGGGTAAAAAGTACCCACACGTAGGCAAGGTGATTTCATGTGGAGGAGGTCATTTATCACACTCAAACTTTCCAGGGGGATGTGTATTTATTCTACATTATATCCTAATTTAAACATCCACAGAAAAGCAAAAATGCAAAATTTTATTTTGTTATTTCCATGTGACTCTGTAATGAGTGTAAAAATGTAAAAGTGCCAAGCAGGAAATACCCAGGAGAACGTCCTTACTGCATGCAGATGACTTTATCATTTATAATCATGAAAAAAAAATAAAATCATGAAAGAAAAGTCGATTTTATTCATAAAGATGAAGATGCTTACTGGTATTTGTAGAGCTTATTTCAATTCAAATACATCTTCGATCACAAGTCATGTGAAAAAAATTATTTAATAATTGACTTGGGTTTTCTTTAAATATAGCTTTGACCTGCTTTTCAGAGCTTTTTCTATCAGCCAGTTTTCTACCAAGGGGCATAACCACTTGCTCATATTGGCTATGACCGATTATAGTCCACGCCAGTCTTCCAAAAGCTCATTCAAATCAACTTTTACTGTACAGAATACAACAGCACTAGAGTTTTATTTTCCTCTAAGGAAATTCCCAATATGTAAGTCTAAATATCAAAGGTAGTGAGATCAGACCATAGGGTAAAACCACAATGGAAATGTGATTCATCCTGAAACTTCAAAAGTTGCAACAGGCCACAAAAGTAATTAGTTACCCCTAATGCTTGGCAAGATTTCTGCTTTGATATTCTGTATGTGAAACACACTGCCAATAATTCGCTCTTCTTTAAACTTCTTGTTTGCTGTGACCGCTGGACCCCCGAGATGACATTCTGCGGCAAGGACCACACTTGCATGACTATCTTCTACATCTCTGTCTGCTTCAGGAAGAAAAGAGGGAGTTTCCTCTAGGTCAGGTGTGCTGATTAAGGATATCCATTTTATACCATCACTTATTGAGTTAAAAGTTAAAAGCAAGTAATTCTGTTGTGATCGCAGTAATTAAAAATATAGATAGAAAAGTTGATGTCACATTTTAAAATGGGCATCGGAATAACTGGATAGAGATCCGATAAAATAAGAATCTGCTTCATTTGCAGGTAGATCATCAAACTAATGAAACCAACATATAACTATAGGAGATGTCCTGTACAATAGCAAATGATTACCCGTTCAGAACTGGTTTTCCCCAGTGTGTGGTTCACCATTTTGGCAATATCCACTCAGTCTATCAATATTTGTCTTGTTTTAGTAGGAGTATTTGCAATTCAGTAGGAATAGGTATCTTGATACAAATTAAAGAAGAACACTGTTTCTCACGATAAGCACCATGCTCCTGTTCACCTTTGTCTCAGAAATACATGACAAATTTTATTTCATTCCCCTCCCCAGTTTTATTGAAGTGTAATTGACAGATAAAAGTGTGTATTTTTTTTAAGATTTTATTTATTTATTTGACAGAGAGACACAGTCAGAGAGGGAACGCAAGCAGGGGGAGTGGGAGAGGGAGAAGCAGGCTTCCCGCGGAGCAGGGAGCCCGGTTCGGGGCTCGATCCCAGGACCCTGGGATCATGACCTGAGCCGAAGGCAGAGGCTTAATGACCGAGCCACCCAGGTGCCCCAAAAAGTATGTATGTTTATATGATTTCACTCACATGTGGAATTTAAGAAACAAAACAAATGAACAAAGAAAAAGAGAGAAACAAAAAAACAGACTCTTCACTCTAGAGAACACACTGCTGGGCACCAGAGGGGATGTGGGGGGTGGTAGGGGAAGTAAGTGATGAGGGTTAAGAGCACACTTATCTTGATGAGCACTGAGTACTGTACAGAAGTGTTGAATCACTATATTGTACACCTGAAACTAATATAATGCTGTATGTTAATGATACTGGATTGAGAATTTTTTAAAAAGCAGGAAAAATGGAAAAAAAAAGTCGTGTATATTTCAGATGTATACTGTGATGGTTTGACATACGTATAACATTGAAGAATGATTGCCACAATCATTAATTCATTAATTAATTATTAATTAACTGAATAAGGTATCCATCACCTCACATAGGTACCTTGTGTGTGTGCGGTGTGTGGTAAGAACACTTAAAATTTACCCTCTTGGCAAATTTCAAGTATACAAACCAGTATTATTAACTCTGTAGCCCCCGTGCTATTCATCAGATCCCCAGAATTCATTCATCTTGTAACCGAACGCTTGTACCCTTTGAACATCTCCCCGTTTCCCCACACCCAGCCCCTAATAGCCACCCCTCCACTCTGCTTCTGGTACTTTGGCTCCACAAAGTGGAGCCAAATGTGGAGCCAAATTTGGCTCCATATGTGGAGCTCCACTCCACATATAAGTGAGATCATACAATATCCATCTTTCCGTGTCTGGCTTATTTCACTTAGCATACTGTCCTCCAGGTTCATCCATGTTGTGGCAGAATTTCAGTTGTTATAGCTGAGATAGTATTCTATTGCATGTAAATGCCTCATTTTCTTTATCTATTCATCCATCGGTGGAAACTTAGGTTGCTCCCACAGCCTTAGCTATTATGAATGACGCCCCATCAAACATGGGTACGGGTAACTCTTCAGAGATAGTGTTTTAATTTCCTTTGCATGTATATCCAGAAGTGGGATAGCTGGATCATACAACAGTTCTGTTTTTAATTTTTTGAGGAACTTCCACAGTGTTTTCTGAGGTGTCTGTACCAATCTACATTGTCACCAGCAGAGGATTCCCTTTTGTGCACATCCTCCCCAACAGTTATTTCATGTCTTTTTGATAATAGTGTCTCCAAAAGGTGTTAGGTGATCTCTCATTGCAGTTTTGATTTACATTTCCTTGATGATTGGTGATGCTGAGCACATTTTCATTTACCTATTGACCATTGGTAAGTCTTCTTTGGGGAAAAAAAAATGTCTATTCCGGTCCCTTGACTACTTTTTAATGGGGTTATTTATTAAGTTAGTTAGCTATAACTCAATTGCTTATAACTCAATAAGAGTTCTTTATATGCTTTGAATATTAATGCCCTCTCACACATATAATTTGCAAATATTTTCTTGCGTTCTGTAGGTTGTCTTTTCATTCTGTTGATTCTCTCTCTCCGTGGAAGAAACCTGTTAGTGTGATGTAGTCCCACTTTGATTTTGCTTTGGGTGTCTGTCTCTTTGGTGTCATGTCACCTGATATTTTAGACACCGAGGACAAGCGACTCTTGGCTGTTCTGGAGCTCTGTCAAGAAACTCAAGGCTCTCCTCCATGAACAGCAACGATGGGAACCATTGCAAATCATAGTGCAGATCATGTTTTGATATTCATCTTTGGAAGTGTTTTCACCTCATGGTCATTTATATAGGAATATCTTATCTGAAAAAGCAAGCTTACCAGTAATTTGGAAATCGCCTTTAAATCCAGCCACTTTCTGGGGCACCTGGGTGGCTCAGTCAAGGTTAAGTGTCTGCCTTCGGCTCAGGTCATGATCCCAGGGTCCTGGGATCGAGTACCACGCTGGGCTCCCTGCTCAGTGGGGAGCCTGCTTCTCCCTTTCCCTCTGCCACTCCCTTTGCTTGTGCTCTCTTTCTTTCTCTCAAATAAATAAATAAAATCTTAAAAAAAATAAATCCAGCCACTTTCTTTTCTTGTAATTTTTGTGAAACAAGCTTATTGTGAGTTGGGTGACATAATCAGTCTCAGTTCATATAAATGCTAAGCGACAGTTGTAGCTCTAATTTTAACACTCTAAGCAGAGGTTTCTAAACATTTTGGGGTGACACACCCATCAGTAAAAAGTTTTCGATCATAAATATCCAAAGTCACTATTTTTTTTAATTTGTAAGTTATAGATGTGGAAGTCTTCTAATATATCTGGAGCGTTAAAAAAGATACACAGAAACATCAAGCGAAACTGTGAATCAAACAAGCATATATGCAAGTGGAGGTTCTAACAGATGTCCTTGTACTGCGATTCATCACTTCCTGCAGGCTTTGGGACACGTGTACCCTCTTCTGAGACCCCTGAGCTAATCGGAGACCTGGGGGCTTCAGTGAGGTCCTCATGGGGAAAATGAAGTGGCCCTTCCCCTCTTTATGACCCCGCCTGAGTGAGTGTGCTTCGGAAATAAAGCCACACTGGGTAACAGTAACTTTTAAATATGCATTAGTATGATTCACTGTAATGTTTATTACTTTGAAATCACAAAGGATGAATTATTTTCTTCTAGGTAGAGCACAGTTACAAGAAGATGTCTGCCATAATCACAAAGGGGAAGTGATGGATTTTGTATTAGGGCATGTAAATGAGATCACCAACACATGAGCACGTATAAATCTCCTATGTTGGGAGAAGATGGGGACCAGGGTTTATTGATTACCTACCATGTGGCAAACATGATTCCAGACAGCTCATATATGTGGAAAGAGATAAGGCCGTAAAGCTTTTACCTAAAATGTTTGATATGTAGCAGGTTCTATTATGGCCTTTCTCATGGAATCGTCAAAACTACGCAGACAATTAGGCATCAGTATCCTTACTGTGTACAAGTGGGTCACCTCTGGATAAGAGATGTTTAAGAACTTGGCCATGGTCACACCCAGGAAAAGGCAGAGAGGCCTTTCTGATTCCATAGCTCCTCTCCCGGGGCTTCTGTCTTTGTTTTCTTCAGTTCTGTCACTGTTTACCTGTGACGGGCCTCGCCAACTGGTTTTGCCATATCCCACGGACAGTGATGGTGGATGTTGTTCCAGGGGCCAGACCCACAGAGCAGTGCATGCATCCTTGGTTGTTCTGGTGGAACAACCACACAGTGGGCATTATAGTTATATCCAAACATCCAAAGCATGCTTTAAAATGAATGACCTTTATTCCCATTTTTGGTGTGTGGGCAGCAATGGGCTCCCACCCTGTGTCTGCTCATGTTTGTGCTTCCGTACCCCATCAGACCTCACTTAAGAGCAGGAGTTCAAAGATAAAATGATTAAGAACTCAGGATGGCAACAGCAGAGCCTGAAATAAGCGGGGGCCTTCCCGAGCGTCCGCCCCCTGTGACTTCACAGGCTTTCGCCCACAGACCCGGCTCTCTGACTCTCGGCAGCTCATGGGGGTTCACGGCGCCAACACGGGGGCCTTGCTCACTATTATTTGTCCCCACCACGCAGTGCTCTTGGCACCTGGTAGATATGCTGTAGATGTCTGATGTTGTTAACTATGTTGTCCCAGGGAACGGACTCTTAGCTCTATTTTAAAGAGCTTCTTGGATTAAAACCACTTTTTTAGTGGTTATTCTATGATTCTATATTGAGAAGTAACCAGAGAATCACAGAAGTCTGAAGCTGGAAGGAATTTTCTGTCTGGTGGTTTTCAAGCTTATTTTTGTTTGATATTTTCTGTGAGCCACGGAGACAGTCCTTCGAGGCGCAGTTCGAAGGAGGCAGTTTGTAGGTGACGCAGAGAGCCCCCCAGCCCTCCCCTTCCCTGAAACACAATTTGAAAACCAATGATCTGGTCCAAAGTGCTTATCTAAAATCTTTATTTATTTGCTGCCCTCTTAGGGATCTTCAAAAATGACAATTTCAAATGAAAACAAGCAAAAAAAGTATTATCCTAGGGTTTTAAAAGCATGGCAGGATACATAGTAGGTGTTTGCACATGACGTATTCATCTGCCCAAATCTCAAGAATTGGAAACTAACTGTGTAGGCGTGAGTGTGACCTTGGGCTCCAGGAGGATGGTTAGATTCGACACCATCTGACCTCCCAGTGGCGACAGTGGGAAGCACATGGGTAAGGACAGCGCAGGGAGACCTGGCGGTCCCAGTGAACAAGGACTGTGCCTTCTACCTGCGTTCATGGGTTCATGGCTCTGCCCTACCTCCCTTCCCTCTCTCCATGCTGCTTCCCTTGCTTTATGGGGCTCCTGTGATCACCATCACTTGCCTGTTAAATGAGATCAGGTCAGTTTCCGCATGTTCATGACTCTGCAGACTTGCCAAATCACTACCAGAGAGTTGGCATCGTGGGGCATTCTGTTGTTTTTCAGGTGTTATATTGTCATGTGATATCCCATTGCTTTTATAACTTTATGGATCCATTCATGCCACAGTGTGTGAGCACTTCCTGGGTGTGTTGTGGTCTACTTGATATCAGGAGAGTTGCAAAGGTGAGTGAGACATGGTCAAAGCCTTCCATTAAGATGCGAGGTAGCCTGGGACTCAATCATAAAGGAAGGAAAAATGATGTGTATTCCAACAATGGTTTCAAACAGTCATAGCAGTAAAAAAAAAAACCCTAATTTTCTCTTAATAGCCAAATTAAAAAAAATTGGGGGTTAAATATATGTACAGGGCCTTAAAAAGCATTATTTTAAGACCTCAGAATGCAATAAGTTAAACATATGCTTTCTGCATTTTTTTTCCGTTCTAACGTTTTTAGGAAAAGTCATTTGGCTTCTAAAATGCTACCAAAGTAAAGTTGAGTCAAACACGGGTTTCAATGAATTTTATCATTAAGTATAAATAGGTTACAAAAATATAAAAAAAAAAAACATAGGTTACGATTTGCACAGTTAATGAGAAAAGAGGAACTAACAGAAGATTATAGAAACCACAATCAAGGTTTTGAAAACTTACTTAAAAGTCCTACCAGGAGATAAAAAATATATAAGTATGCTTGTTTTACCAAAACAAAAAAAAAAAAAGAATTCCTCATCCCTCCACCTCCTCACTCTCTATTCTTCTTAGAATTTGTATGTTAAGTTGACATGGTTCCCTTTCCAGTATGTTTATTTACAACACTGTCACTGTTTCCATAGTTATGCAGAATGTCTGTTTCCATAGCAACACTCTTGGTTTCCTAAACAAATAGTATCACAGTGTTAATCTTGTTTCAGTGTTATTGTACTATGTTATTAGATACAAAATTCAAAAAATAATTTAAGCAGGGTTTGAAACTAGGTGGGTTGGTTTTATTGCCTTGTGCTTTTGATATTAAATTTCAACTTCATATTAAAATACACATCCATTTGAAAAATAGTGGGGATTTTGCATAGTAAACATGATACCAATTTTATTCACTAGTTGTAAAACACTGTAATTTAATAAGAGGGTGTTCCAATACATGAGCAATATCCAGGGAGAGGTTTACCATCTTCAGATTAAAGTGACGGTTTTTCAGTTGGCCTGGGTGATTTAGCTTCCCCAAATCTCTGAAGTCATTTATAACCTACCCGCAGCAATATTTCCCTTTGCCATTTTTGCATTTTAAGTAATTTCTATGCGTTTTGCCTTTTATTTTGTAGCCCTGGAGGAACAGCTGCAAAATAGACTTCAAGGGAATTTTACTACTTCCTTTTTCTCCGATTGAAAAAAAGAGAGAGAAAAGTGAGTAGGTTTTTGTGCTTTCTGTCTTTACATTTGCTTACCGTTACCCTTCTTTTCTTCTCTTGCGAGCAGATCTTTTGGACTCTTTGCAGAAATGGGACTATGTCTTCGCTCCAGCTCCCAAGGCTCCCATGAGCACTGAAGGAGAAGATCGCCAATGTGGGGCTAATTCTTTTACTTAAGAGAAGTAAGAGGTGCTCTACTGACAATTTTCTGGTCAGACGTTTGAAGTGGGCTGCCGGCCCCTGCAGGTCTGGGTCTTGGCGCCCTGCACTCTGCCCCACTTAACCAGGTGCTTCCGAAGAGTGCCTCTCACTTTCTGTTTGATTCTGTCATCCTTTAAGAACATATTTAAATGCCTTTCCCTTCCTGATGTTAGCATGAAAATGAATCGATATGGCAGGGGCATGTAATAATTTATATATGGGAAATAGTCTGCTCTGCTTTGAGGAGTCCGTGATGAGCCGAAGTTGATGTCTGGGACAGTCAGGCTTCTGAGCGAGTGGATCCCAGCTCAAGTGTCCCGTCACTGCCAGATTTGCAGTCCCTGTTACCGGGCTTCTCTGAGCCCCTACCTTCCTCATCTGTAAAATTAGGAAAATACCACCCACTCCACAGCGTTGTGAGGAGATGAGCGATACTACAAAAAAAAAGCATAGTAACACTTGCTAAGCATAATCCTGTTACACGTTACTCATTTTCCCTTCTTCCTTTTGATAATTTGAAGTGTGGGGTCAGAGAGAGCCTAAGCAGGGGAGGTACCTGTGGAGGCTCAACCCTGGCCATGGGGCTTCGTCAGCTTTTCCCCACCACCGTCCTGTCTCTGGCCTATCTGTAGCAGGTAGCTTTAGGTTTTCTGCTCAGTGGAGGTAAACATTCAGACTTCCCAGAACTGCCTCCTCAGTGTGCCCCCCTTATTGAGCAGCAGATCTGCAGTATGGGAAGCCCCAGAGAAGGGGTCCTTCCAGCTCTCCGTCCCTGCAGCAAACCTTACCCCAGTGTCCCTTGGCCTCCAGGCACAGCAGGGCATCTGTGGACCTTGCAGAAATGCAGATTTGGGTTCAGCAGGTCTGGCTGGGGCCCGAGTTTCTGCATGGCTGACAGGCTTTCAGGTGACACCCAACTGGCTGGCCTGGGGACCTCACTTTGAATGAAAAGGATCTAAACTCCCCACATTGGAGCTTTTCTCAAATTTGTTAAGACACTAGTTAAGGGCCTGTTCCCATACCATTGGGTCCTCAAACTACTTTGGCCTGGGTCTATTTGGGGTTCTTATTCTAGGACAGAATCCAAACCATCTATTTTCTCTGAACGTCTTCCTTGTAAGACGGAGAGGCTGGGCTGCCTGGAATCCCCTGGGTCCTTTTCAGTGAGCAAGTATGGCACCCTTCTGTTTTGCAGAAGTGAAACAAACCCAGGAAGACGCAAAATTGCATCGATTCAAACTGTCATCAACCAAATTCTGTTCAGCGGATTTGAATCTCCTATGAGCTTAAGGATCAACACGATTCAGTTCTATCAGGAAAAATACATAACATTTATCAGAATTGGTTATCAGAAATCGTTTAATACCCTGATCAGAAACTCAGGGATTTACTTATGAATGAGTTTAGAAGCTGACTGTTTTATGTAACCATCAAAAATTACAATATAATTATTGTTTCAAAATTCTCTGAGAAATTGTGTTCTTGTTTCTTTTTGTTATGCTGACAGTATAATATATCCAGTGAAGTTTTCTTAGACAATATTATGTTTGGTTTCTGTTTCTTGCACGTCAGAACCCTGTTGGCATTTTATTTATTATATGTTAATAGCAATGTTTCTTGAAAAGGAACCTTTTAATGGCATTTCACTCTTCTCTGAGATTATATTTTAAAAGGAAATAGTATCTGAAAGATCTAAAAAAACCCACCAGGGCTTTCTAGGGGATTTTGTCACTCGTGTTTTCCTTGCTTATGATCTCATTGTCGAGGACTGTATGAGCTTCTAAGAACCAGTGGATTGTGGTTTCTAATAAATATATGCAAACAGAATTATTCTCACTTTTATTCATAGGCTAAATATATTCACCCAACTGGCATTGACCTCATAATAAAACATGACGAATCTGTTTGCCCTTCTCAAAAATAACAATACAATTGTAACAAAATCAATTCCCTATGGGAAAGAAGGCAGCCGCTTTCCCACAGTGGCTTGCCTGCCCCGGAAAATACTCTAACTGTCAATGAAAAATCACATAAACATATAAAAAATGTGCATGAAAACAGTCTCATACCCACACCGTGAGGAGCATAAGAGCTCATGACAATTAAGCACTTACTACCCGGCACATGCCAAGGGTTCAATGAATATTACGTACTGCTATTATTCCTGGCTCTTATCTCACTATTCATAATCTCATTTCATTGTTTATAACAAGCAGGATGACAACAGAACACACTGTCCCCAATTCTCTAGGCCTGTGTTAAGATAGAATGTTTTACAAATCTATATACATAATCTTTTTCTTTGAAGGAATGTCCTTTCATAGATGATGATTTCAGATAATTGAGGGGAAATCCTGACAGTACAGTAGAAGGAAATAATGCAAATACTCTCTGAAAGCCTATAATTACTTTAATTTGAATGTCCAATTCAAGCAGAATACTCTTCTTAGGGTGATCTGATCATAGACTGGCATATGAAAGTTAGGGTACATAAAGAAACCTTTTCTTTTCTTTTTTTTCTTAATATTTTATTTATTTAATTGAGAAAGAGAGAGCAGAGAAAGAGAGAGAGAGAGACAGCATGAGTAGGGTGGAGGGACAGAGGCAGAGGGAGAAGCAGGCTTCCCGTGGGGCAGGGAGCCCTACTCGGGGCTCAATCCCAGGACCCTGGGATCATGACCTGAGCCAAAGGCAGACGCTTAACCAACTGAGCTACCCAGGAGCCCCAGGAAACTTTTTCAAATAAAAGAGCAGAGTATCTTAATGGAGAAAAACAAAATCTATGCCCATAACATACACACACAAATGAGTGTATATACTTCTATGTGAAAGGCATGTATATTTTTCCTCTAAGTGTATTGATTAAAAATCAATTGTATCCAGTTGTATGATTGCTTTTGTTACATGGTACTATCACAGAAGTACTGTTTTCCAGAACAAAGATGAAGGAAAACTTAGGAAAAAGTTGGAGGTGAAGCCAAGCCACCATTCCAAATCACCAAAACCAAACATTCCGTTGGATGGATGGTTTTCACTTAGGGAGGTTATTAAGCCATTCTCTTCTGCTTGTTCTGGGTAATCATGAAGGGGCACACACAAAGAAATTCTTCATTATTTTGTGGGGCTTTTTCATAGTTTATTTATGCAAGGTAATGCTCAGAGTATTTTCCCTATATAAATACATCATGATAATTATCAGGTTTGCTAAAAATGCACAGCAGCTTTGGAAGGAGAAGCTGGGGAGACTCATTGGAACATCCAATGTTCCAGCTGGAGTCATCCCAGGAACATGATTAAGGACACTAACTCAGCTGTCAGATGCCCGGGTTTGAATCCAGGCTCAACACTTCATGAGCCGTTTGATTAGGAGAAAGTTCCCTCGATTCTTTGTGCCTCAGATTATTTACTCATCTTTGTAATCGGGATATAATAGTACCTATTCCAAAAGGCTATTGTAGGAATAAGCATAACAGTGTACATTAAGTGATTAGTGCCGTGCCTTATACACAGTAATCAATACATGTTAGTGATTATTGGAAAATGAGTCATGTTTCCTATAACTGCCATTGAGACCATTAGTCATTTACGAAGGTTTAATGAGCTGCTTCTTATTTTGCCAAAGCTGATTATAAACTTCTTACAGTTTGATCCTGTAATGTTGGCAAACATTTAGCCGGCCTGAAGCTTCTAAGTCACATGAGGAGCTCAAATTCTAGAAAGAACTGGGTCATACTTCAGGTACTCTTCGTTCAGAAAGGGCTGCGAAGATCAGGAATTTTAAGATAAAGTCCAGATGGCTTGGACATTAAATACTTTTTAAACTCTGGGTTTCACTCTATCAACAGAATTCCAGTAGTAACCGTTCAACCAATGGTTTTAGCCACCTTTGGCTGCCATAAAATACCACAGATTGGGTAGTCTGAACAACAAATTTGTTTTCTCATAGTTCTGGAGGCGGTAAGTCCGGGATCAGAGCATGGGCAGATTCGGGGTCTGGTTCACAGTCGGCTGTCTTCTGTGCCCTCACCTGGCCTTTCTTCCATGCGTGCTCAGAGAGCATGAGTGTGTGGCTCTACGTTCCTCTTTGTGGGCCGGGGCCCTGCCCATATAACCTCATTTAACTTTGCTTCCCTAAGGAGCCTATCTCCAAATGCAAGCATACTGCAGGTCGGGGCTTCACCAAAGTCATTTTGGGGAGACACAAACGCTAGGTCCCTGGCACCGACCCATAGGGCTGTTTCTTCCGTAGACAGCTTATAAATCTAGAATAACATGACAGCATTTCTGTCCAGTGCTCCTCCTTGGTTCCCACCTTCCTGTCCTCCATCCTTCCGTGTCCCCACCGGGACTTTCTCCCGGTCCAGGGTCCTGCTGTGTGGCAGATGGAGCCTGTGGGGATGCCCTCAGGACTTCTGTCTGTTCTTCTGATAACCTTTAACATCACACATCTGTATTTTTCTTCGAAGTCTTATAGATTGTGTGCTCTTCAGTCACATTTTGCTTGTGTGAGTCTTCGTGATGGTTGACAGCCCTGAGGCTCCCCTCCCTCAGTGCTCCCTGGCTTTCTTGGTCGGTTTTGAGGACCCCACTCACTGTCTTTCTCCTGGAGAGGGAACCCCAGTCTGAGGAGCAGCATTTGGTTTGGGCGTTAGCCTTTGTCTAACGAGGATTACCACAGAGCTTCCTTGAGGTCATTAGCCAAGAAGTGCCAAGCCCTGCGGACACCAGTCCAAAGGAAACTGACTAGGAGATAGGCTTGTGAAGAGATGAGCAGCACCTAGTAGGGGGTGAGTGAGGCGGGGCAGGCAGGGGGAGAGGTGACCCACAATGCAGTTGCTACACTGGGGGGCAGTGGGGGGAGCTCAGCGGATCCCATGAGTTGCTCTGAAACAGGCACGGCACCTCAGAGATGTTTCCAGACAAACTACGGATGCACCACTTTGTGGCCTGCATGGGCCCGTCACTGGAGCCTGGCTGCTCCCAGGGGCTGGTGTATCTGGAGCCTCTTGGCTCCCACTAGTGGAAGGCCATTCCAGGAGGGCCAGCCTGGGGCTGGGGTGGTGCTGAGGGGGCAGCCGGGCAGTGCGGCCGGCATCCACTCAATGGGAATTTGACTGGTCAGTTAGGAACACTCTGCTGTGGATTTTATTGGTCAGTCCATTTTTTGGCCATGTACCTTGTGAAGCTGTTGGTTAAGGACAATTTTGAGAGAAAATTTTGTGCATGAAGGCTGGGACCCCACTTCTCAAACAATGGCTTTTCTGAATGGTAATCATAGTTTTTAAGGTATCTTTAAAGGATCCACTTGGAGGCAGATAGCATTCCAATTATTTGGACAGCGAGTATGTACCATGAAGGGCTCGCACCATGATAAGATGGCCAACGGGGCAATTGAGAGGGAAAACCACAGAACTGAGGTCCTCGTAGGGAGCTGTCACACCCCCAGGGCCAAGAGAATGAAGGGAAGACGTCCAAGTCGGGGGTCCCAGAGCCCGGACCCAGGTCTCCGGAAGGGTGTCTGTGGGACTGGGGCTGGTGTCATGGTTCCAAGGGCTGGGAGACTCCATGCTGGGCCCAGAGGCTGCTCGGGAAGCATCATTGTTTGTACCACAGCTGTAGCGACAGAAGTCACAAGAAGCCCAGAGGCAGCCCACAGGAAGCCTGGGGTCGGGGGTCTCTTTCTTCTCCAAGCCTGCGGGCCCCAGCGAGTGCCTCTCTGGCCAGGTCTGCCCAGGCTGCGGTGTGCCGGGCAGCTCAGCATCACAGAGCCTCGCAGGAGTGGAGCTGAGACTCTCGGCTGATGTCCACTACGATTGTGAACATTTTCCTGGGGAGCAACGTCAGCACACACACTGATTCATTTTCCCTTAATAAAAATCATAAGGGCCAGTCACTGCTCTCACTTTGAATCCTGCAGCTGCTTTCTGACAAAATCCCTGGTGGTCTATGAGATGTCCCTGATGTTAAACAAGAAATAAAATAAGTCTTTTCACATGAATGGCAGTTTATTAACACTGTTTTGGCTGAGGGGTGTAACACTGGTCTGGGGTTTGGAAGGATTGACAAGGGGTTTAGCTTTGAGGATGCAAAAGATGGTTTTAGATGGATTTTCTTCAATTCACAATAAGTCTTTGATTTTCTCAGGTGATTGTCTTGAAAAGGAATCCCTGATATTCTTTAATAAAAATGGCTGCAATGTTGGAATGTGGTTCTAATATGCATGCAAATCAGGGAAAGATCAGAGACTGTGTAACGTGGGGAAAGTCCAAATAATTGGGTTCAGGAGGAGCGGAGAAAGAAGAACCAGATACAGAATGGGACAAGGGAGCGTGGAAGGAAGCTAACAGGGGTGTCCTGCCACGAGGCTGGGGGCTTGGCCGGTGACCAGGAGGTGGCTGGCTGACGGCTACCTGCAGAGACTGACTCCTTTTCAGGCTCAGGAGGACTGCTTGAGATTGTCACCCC